GAAAATATTATTTTCCTCGTAAGAGCCTCGTAAATTTACTTCCACTTTACGAGGAAACGCTTTTCTCGTAAGTTTACGAGAACCTTACGAGGAAAAGATGTTTCCTCGTAAAGTCGAAGTAAACTAGTAGTATTTTTACGAGGAAATGTTTTCCTAGTAAATTTTCCTAGTAATGGCTTAGTTTTCTTGTAGTGTATTGCATGTGTTAGAGCATCCACATTGATTGGGGGTTCACACAAATAAATTTTTTTTTTTTAATTTTCGTTTATTTAAAAAAAAATTAATAATGGACCAATCGTTAGCTGACACGTGGTGAATCCGGAGTCATCGGGGTTCACCGCAGTGAACTTTTGAGAGAGAGATTCATAAAAATCTGATTTTAATATTTTTTTTTTATTGGTTTGCGTGTGAACTATTTTTTTTTATTGGTTTGCGTGTGAACTCCCCCATCATCCCTTGATGGGGGTGCTCTTAGGAACTAAATTGCATGTGTTAGGAACGAACACGAATCAATTTGAAGAAAGAAAATAAACTTAAGATCAAAAATGATTTGAGGTAAGTATCCGTTTAAAGTTTTGTATATTGATTATTATGAATGAATAAATTTATAACTTATTAGATTCATATTTACAACAATTTCAAAATCCAATTTTCTTTTCAATATCCATATTCAGAACATGTAACCTTCTTAATCCTAAAAGCCATACCGAATGTGACGTTTTTACGAGTGCACAGAGAGTTAGAGCATCCACATCAATGAACCCCCTCTTGGGGTTCATTGAATTAATTTTTTATTATTAAAACTTTTCTATTTTCTTTTTGATTTTTTTTTTTAAAAAAAAAGAAAAAAAAAACCTAGACCAATCCCGAGCCGCCACGTGTTGAACTTTAGGAGAGAGGGGTTCACCCGAGAGAGAGAGGGGTTCATAGGATTTTGTTAATTTATTATTTTATTTTTTTGGTTTCCGTGTGAATCCCCCATTTGAACTCTCAATGGGGGTGCTCTAAGTAGTATGGATTACTTAGTCAAGAAAATCATTTTTCTTTGTTGACAACCCATACAATACATAAACACTTGTTGTATGCTACGTGAAGTAACTTGGATGAAGATATTCCATGCTAAGAAAGTAATACAATTGGGTTGATGTCTTGATGAGGAGCTAACAAAATTGAACTGTTTTGTAGTTGCTTTGTCGATATTGTTACGAGATTTCCTTGTATGACCATATTTTTAGGCGTGAAAGTGGTACACTTTCGAATCTCCGTTATTATATTGAACTTTTATGCATATAATAAAGGTAGAAGAAGATGAAGAGGAAGAAAAAGAGGAGGTGAATAAGAAGACAAAGAAAATTGACAGGGAAAAAAATGAAGAGGAGATGAGAAAAGAAGAAGGAAAAAAAATGAAGAGGAGAAAGAAAGAAAAGAAAAAGAGAAAATGATTATAATAGACCTAAAAAAGGATTTTATCACAAATATAAACCTTAACAATTAAAATGACCAAAATATCACTTAAATGTTTTATTAAATATATATTTATACTCTTGGGTTAACTAATCTTAGATTTTTTTTAAGAGTTGAAGAGTGGGATTTTAGGATAGAGTTTCGAATTTTAAAAAATTTTAAAAACTTAAAATTTTCAAAATAAAAAGTTATATTTTTTAAGATATCTTTTTGTGATAAAAACTTAAAAGAGAACTATTTGAGAGAATTGCCCCTAAAATGTTGTAGCATACTATATTATTTTCATAAAACAGAATATTATATTAAGGCACAATGCATACATTTTCGGTAAAGAAAAAAACAGTTAATTCAACGTTCATTAATACAAATAAATATAAGACAGAAGTAAACTTCCTCAAACCATAAATAGACCAACCTTGCAAAGACCAGTAGGCAAGTACATCTGGACAATACATGCGTACCTTATTACTCTTTATACTATATAGATCACTGGAACAACTCAAACATTAACATTTTAAGCCGAACATCTCTTAGTAAGCGTGACTCTAAGCCCATGCTTCATGTGAAGAGCAAGACGAGGCTTTGGCTCAATCTTGTGTCCTTTAGCGAGATTGATGTCATAGTTTTGTAATATCTCCACGACCACGGTCTTCAATGTCACCATAGCTAAATGCCTACCAGGACAAGTTCTTGGACCGGAGTTAAATGCTAAGAACTTGGAAGAAGGCTCATGTCTCAACCCTCCAGTCTCTGAAACCCATCTCTCTGGCTTGAACTCCCATGCGTCATCTCCCCATACAGATCTCATCCTCCCTAAAGCATAGATAGGGATGATAATGTTAGAGTTTGCATCGATTTTGTGACCACTTGGAAGTACTTCTGATTTTATAGAAGTCTTGCGCTCGAACGGAATTGGTGGATAAAGCCGCATTGCTTCATACAAAGCCCCATGTAAATACACCAACTTGTTCAAATACTCTCTGCGATCACTAGTCGACCATGACCTCTCTTGACTGCTTCCAGCTTTTGGTAGATTTGTGTCTATCTCTTGGCGAATCTTGGCTTCCACGTGAGGGTTTACGGAAAGGATCCCGAAAAACCAAGTGAGAGCAGTGGCAGTGGTATCTCTCCCTGCGAAGATGAAAGCTACAATGGTGTCTCTAAGGAACTTATCATCACTTGGATCCAAGAGCTCGTACTTACTTGTATCTAGCTTTATGTGATACGTTAAAATATCTTCACTTTCTACATCGGAGTGATCATGACCCATCCCTTGTGATCTTATCGCTTCTCTCTTTGAAAATATATATTTGGTGCAGAGTCGATCAAAGGTGACACTCGCTTCTGTCAACTTCTTCTCTTGTCCCAACCCCATCATGTTTTGCAACTTCCACAAGAATTTTGGTTTGACATGCCTTAATAAAATGGCTTCCCCAGCATTATCGAAGGCTTCTGCGAACTCAACCTCTGGCATGTCAATGGAGAGAGACTGAGGATCCGACCCGGTAATTGTAACAAGGGATATATCGAACATGAATCTCCGGAACACATCTTGCAAGTCCACGATTGCGCCTTCCTCTGAATAGCGACTAAAAAGAGGAAGAAGCACGTCCTTGAGTTTGCTTGTTGTGACATCCATTGAAAAGTTTTGAAAGCCTTGATGACTGAGCATGACCTGAGTAGACATTCTTAGATTCTTCCATAGGTCTGAATCGGTGTTGAATATCACGTCTCCAAACACATCAAATATCTCTTTGAACTCCGGTCCTTTGACGTAGTTGGAGAAGTTTGAGGTCAATATATGATGTATATTAGCTGGATCAACGGTGATCAACGCATCCATTCTACTGAACCAGGGACCCTTGAATACAAATGTCAAGTTGGTCTTCTCAATGATGTAGATGGCATCGTCGATCCGGTTGAACCTCATGAGCACAGCTGGAAGCATCCCAAGAACAGGCCAATTCCAAGGGTAGCTTTGAAGGTATTTCTTGATGAGAAAGTAACCAAAGTGTTTCTTGATGAGGAAGTAATAGAAGATGAGGAAGCAAAAAAGAGATATGGATGTTTCAAACAAGCCGATAGAAGCCATTAGAGAAGTTTGATAGTGGGTAGTGGAGAAGAAGAGAAGGAACTGGATTTATATACACATGCTCTATTGTTTAACTAATTTTAAAATATTCGATTTCGTATAAGAGCAAACAGTGTGATAAACAAATGATCCGTGATGCGCTCTTCAATAAACAAGCATCACATGTTTTGAGATTTGACTGTGCAAAGTTGCTTATATGAAAGGGTTTCTTAAATTATATACTCATAGGATTATATAATACTACCACAACTGGAGTTCTCAAGTCCCTTGTTTTCACGACATCTATATAACTAGAGGCTTTACCTTTTAATTCATACTGAAGATATGTTTGTATTTAAATAACCATGTGTATCATTTTCATCTAACATGCACAAATCACATTAATAGCATCTACTGCAAATAAATTTAAGTGTCACTGTTTTTTTGAAGAATAAGTTAGTTAATTGAGAGTTTCTTGATGATAAAGTAACTTGATGAGGGGGAACTGGCAAAGCTGAGCTGTTTTTAGTTGTTTTATCGACAATTTAGCATTGTCACCAAATTTTCGTATACATATGAAAAGTTGGAGCTTCCAATGTTCCACAATTAATTTTATCTTTAGTTATTTTTTTATATTAAATTGGGGTATTTTGTACATATGTAAAGACCTAGACTAATCATCAAGAAGAGATATAATCCATAGATAGATTCTCTCTAGATATTTAAATGGACCGAAAGCAATGAATCATATTTATGTGGAAGTCTTGTAGAATAGGTAGATCGTACTCGAAACATGTTGACGTTTCAAGCTGTTTCCCTTACCAGCAGAGGCGGATCTACATACAAGAAAAGGGTTGCAGTTTACACAGGTTAAATATAAAAATTAGGTTTATACACTAATTTTGTAATGGATCTTAGCTCAGTTGGTTATCCATTGTCCCCCCTCTTCCAAGTTCAAAACACACAGTATGCACTCCTTTTTTTTCTTTTCTTGTTTCAGTTGGGCCTAACCTACCTATGACCCAGGTAAAAAAAAACTCTTAGGTCCACCACTGCTTACCAATTACCACAAGGCTCCGGATATCTTTGATATGAATACCCTTAGACCAGCCGCAACGGCACAAAATCACGAGTCCTTGGCCCGATATTCCAGACGGGTCTGATTTTTAAATAATAAAGTTGGCCCAAATCCGTAAGGATCAGTCCGTCCAGAAGGCCTGCAAGGATCGAGTCCTTCTGTACTTGGCACGCTGAGATTGGGTCTTCTTTTCCTCCTTCCTCCATCAACTCCATCGCAAGCTTCCTCCTCCCCGTAAGTGTTTTTTTTTGCAATTGACGATGAGGGCTACTGAGACGACCGGAGAAATCACCATCGGATGCAACCACTGGTATCTTTCCTCCCGAAACCATTATTTGATTTTCTTTTATCTCGTTGCTCTGTTTTTTTTTTCTTTAAAGAATCTATCGGATATGCAATTTCTTCTCGCTGCCCTCTTTTCTTGATTGTCTTCTGTAATTCATTTCGAATCAAAAGGAAATTTCTTTGTAGACTCGAAAGTCATGAACTTTGTTTTTCTTGTAATTGGTTGGTGATTGCAAAGTGATAACCTTTGTGTGTGGAATTGAATTGAAGAAACTTATGAGCTCTGGGGTCTATGTCGGTGATGATATAGTATTATATGATTACGAACATTATATTAAGCTTAAAAAGATAAAATTTTAAACATTATTCAGTGACAGATTTGTGGTGATATGGTTCCCAAAAAGCATGCTCAGGAACACTTCTTGAACACACATGCTCCGGTAAGCTGTTTTTACTTTGTCTAGTTTGATTGATGTTGGATGCTGCTGCTAGATAGATGAATGAAGTGACCAATTTAAGCTTATGAGATTCCTCTTGTACTGCATTGATAAGGTACCATATTCAGAAAGTATGTGGCAACCGCACGGAACTCTGTTATCAATGCAACAGCTACGTTAGATTGCGAGAAACACATAACCATGAAACCAAATGCCCTGGTTTTGTGCTCAACAATGTTGAATCATCCAGGTACATTTACTTATCTAAATTCTTTTCAAGGGATTATTCTTTTTGGCTAAACTCATGCCGTGGCATGGATTCTGATGTGTAGAAGGAACACAAGAGCAGCACAAGGAGATGTAAATGGTAGGAGGTGAAAAGGAGATTGGAACGGTGTCTCTAACAAAAGGTTTTTCTTCACTGTAGCAGTAACGGATTCACCATCATCCCTTCCCCACTATTTTCTTCATAACTGCAGGTCATGGATCGTTATGTTGATCCTTTGGTCTCTCATCTCAAGACGATGCTTAATTACAGGAAGTTGCGGAAGGGGACAAAAGCAGAAGTTGAGGAGCTTCTCATGATCGAGAAATCTACTAGCAGTTGGCCTGAGAAATCTCTTGGTATTACAGTGGAGAGAACTTCATCGGTTAAGGTACTAGCAGTGAGCTCAAGGGGTTTATATGTGTTGTATGTCAGTTCATACTCTTGCCTTTTCTTTTGGCGTACCAACATTTTTCTTGTTCTCTTAATGCAATCAACATTTAACTATAAGCAACTTTTTTGTATACAGATCGCTGGCAGATGTTGTTGGCTCCTTTTCAAGATGGATCTCTGTTTTTCCAAGTAATGGTAGTCTACTTTCTTCAGTGACCGTTCAACATAATTCAGTTACAATTCCAGTTTTTATATTCATTTCCATTCGGACTGGTATTATTTCCAGTCTCCTGCAAGGAGATGTGTATGTTAATGTCTCATATTATCAATTGGTCTGATTATCTTAATGGTGTTTGGTTTTTGTGTTTTCAGATTATTTCTTGCAGGAGGGATTTCTGAACCCATTTGTTCACATGCTCGTGCCTGTGCTCTTCGTAAAATTTGTGAAGATGCTCCAGCTGTAATACAGGAAACATCATCTTGACGCGGATAGGAGAGGTTTTAGCTTCATGCAACCCTTTCATTAACTGGTAAGACAAGCTTCAAGTTACACTGACACATATATGTAGTATGTGTTGTATGTGTTGTGATATTTGATTTTTATTATTGTATTATTGACTCACATGTTTAACAATAAAAAAAAAGTCCTAAGGACTTCTAATTGAAGTCCACCATTGAACAGATTTTTTTTGTTTAAAATTCTTAACTATTAGTAAAATAAAAATTAAAAAAAAAATATTATTATATTATCTAAGGATTCCACAATGGAGTCCACCATTGTGGATGCTCTTATAATTCATACTGAAGATATGTTTGTATTTAAATAACCATGTGTATCGTTTTCATCTAACATGCAAAAATCACATTAATAGCATCTACTGCAAATAAATTTAAGTGTCACTGTTTTTTTAAAAGAATAAGTTAGTTAATTGAGAGTTTCTTGATGATAAAGTAACTTGATGCGGAGGAACTAGCACTGAGCTGTTTTAGTTGTTTTATCGACAATTTAGCATTGTCAACAGATTTTCGTATACATATGAAAAGTTGGAGCTTCCAAAATTTCACAATCAATTTTATCTTTAGTTATCTTTTTATTAAACTGGGGTATTCTATACTTGTGTAAAGACCTAGACTAATAATCAAGACGAGGTATAATCCATAGATAAATTCTCTCTCAAAATATTTACTAGGAAACTTTACTAGGAAAATAATTCCTCGTAAAATTACTACGAGTTTACTTCGAGTTTACGAGGAAACCATGTTTCCTCGTAAGGTTCTCGTATACTTACGAGAAAACAGTTTCCTCGTAAAGTCGTAGTAACATTACTAGGACTTTACGAGGAAAAAAACGCGGGCATAGCTATTTCCTAGTAAAGCAGT